CTTCCCTCTTTCTTCACTTGACTGCTGCCTGTGCTTATTTTTTTTTTTTTTTTTTGCAGTTTTTGGCCGGGGCTGGGTTTGAACCCGCCACCTCCTGCATATGGGGCCAGCACCCTACTCCTTTGAGCCACAAGCGCCACCCAGCCTGTCCATTCTTTGTGCATTAGCTTTGGTATCACCACCAGGAAGTCTTCCTTAATTTCTCCTCCAGGCTCTCACAGTTGACTTTGTAACCCTCATTATGGCTCTGCTTGTGCTGGATGTGGCTTTCTCACACTCTCCTTCAACTACCAGCTGCTTATCCCTTGAGTGTCAGCTTTAGTGTCATCTCCTCCAGGAAGCCTTCCCTCATCACTCCTCCTCCCTGGGCCTCCTCTGGGCTTCCACAAGCTGCCCGTGCATCCTCCATATCAGCTCTTATTTTGCCTGGTCACGCAACCATCTCCTCCTCTGGACTTGGAGCTCCATGCAGTCAATATTGTGGCTTTGTCTGGGCCATGGCTGTGTCTCTGGTACCCAACACTCAGCACAGGACCTGGCACACAGTAGGTCCTCCATGACCCAGAGCTCTGGGAGAACTGGACACAGCAGCATGCAGGTCCTCAGAAACCTCTTTTCCCTCCTTCCTCTCCACTTCAGCTCTCCTCCCTCACAATGGTGAAACTGTCTCTAAGAATCCTTACTGCTACTTGTTAGATAGCTCAGGGGTTAATGGCAACCCCTTTACCGGTTGCTGTAACCTGTTAGTGTTCCCCAGCTCTTATGTACCCCAGGCCTGAGCCTCCTTGTCTTTAGAATGATACTGATAACTCCCGTTCTCCTGGAATTTTGCAAGGATTTGATAAGGTGAGGGATGTAGAGACCCTTGAACTACCATGTGTGTGTTTTTATATGAATAATAACAACGCTTTATATATTACTCAGTGCTAGGCATTGTTCTAATCCCTTTTATGTTCACCCATTTAATCTCACAAAAACTCTAGGAGACAAATACCACCATTAATTCTGTTTACAGATGGGGACACTGAGACCCAGAGAGGTTAGGCAACTTACCCAAGTCACACAGCTGAGAAGTAACAGAGCCTTTGTTTGCTTTGAGTTGGGGTTTTGTTATGTTCTCCTAGCTGGTCTCAACCCCTTGAGCTCAAGCCAAATGACCTATCTTCCTCATACTCTAAAGGACAGGAGTAAGCCCTGTACCCAGCTTAGGTATGGACTTTCTTTCTTTCTTTCTTTTTTTTTTTTTTTTTTTCAGTTTATGGCCGGGGCTGGGTTTGAACCCACCACCTCCTGGTATATGGGGCCAGTGCCCTACTCCTTTGAGCCACAGGTGCCACCTTTTTATTTTTTTAGACAGAGTCTCACTTTTTTGCCCTCAGAAGGGTGCCATGGTGTCACAGCCCACAGAAACCTCAAACTCTTAGGTTCAAGTGATTCTCTTGCCTCAGTCTCCTGAGTAGCTGGGACTACAGGTGCCTGCCACAACGCCCAGCTATTTTTAGAGACAAGGTCTTGCTCTGGCTCAGGCTAGTCTCCAACTCATAAGCTCAGACAATCCACCTGCCTTAGCCTCCCAGAGTGCTAGGATTACAGGTGTGAGCCACTGCACCCGGCCATATGCTGCTTCTTGTTACCCAATACTTCCTTTTTGATGAATTAAGGAAGGGAGGAAGGAACTGGCAGGGAGGAATACTCAAAATGTTCTATATCGGCCCGTGATTTCCTCTCCAAGTGGGATTAGTTGAACCTCCCTATTTTGCAGACAAAAACACCAAGGCTCAGGAGAGAGGGCAGCATGATCTGTGATGGTCTCTAAGCCTTGTTAAAAGTGTGTGGGGTGACAGATGGAAGAAATTGGTAATAAATATTTGCTGACAAAGAGCACGTGGACTATAGTTAGTTATCATCCCTGGCCTTGCCCTGCCACTTCATTCTCAACTCCAACAACCTAGGTCCTCCCTGGAGAGGACTGGAGATGGCCAGAAGCAGAGGTCAGAGCTGGAAGGACTTGGCTGGTCTTCTGGGGTTTTCATTATTCTTTCATTCATTCACTCACTTAACCACTCCATGGTAGGCTTTCTTCTGGGAGGTGGAGTTATAGCCTTAAACAACACAGATCCAGTCCCTCCTTCACAAAGGTCACACTTGGGTGGGGGTGACAAACAGCAAACACCTCACTAAGAAATGCCCTGGATTATTTCAGTAAATGGCAGGTGTTGGGCCTCAAAGGGTGAAATGGAGCTAGCCAAACAGAAAGGTGCCAGAAGCCTGTTCCAGCAGCTGAGGGTGTGCGAGCTGGGTGCATTCTCAGAATATCAACAGTTATTGAGCACTTACTGTGTACCTAGCTCTAAATCAGTTTGTGTGGATGAATGAAGAATTCTTACACATCGCTGGTGGGAGAGAGCATTTTATTTTTTTTTTGAGACAGAGCCTCAAGCTATCCCCCTGGGTAGACTGCCGTGGCATCACAGCTCACAGCAA